GTACAAATGGGAATAACCACTTATCATGTAATTTAAAAAAAGGGGCATAATTATCCCATGTTGTGTGTGGATTTTAAACCCAACAATAAAAACAAAAAGAGCAGGTTAGGACGCTGCATGAAGTTGATGTCACATCAGTGGAAACAGCTGCCGTGCTGAGCGGTCTGGAAAATTCTCTTAGCAAGGAAAAAACAGCTTAACAGCCAACTCACAGTTTGTCAAATGCATTCATGGACAGAAACTTCATTTTTTCAAACATAGGCAGGCGCTCTGCAAAAAAAAAAAATTATTTGCCAATAATTTGAGAAGGTAGATGAGACACTTTCCCAGCGAACAAGTTAACTCATTTGCCCTTATAATAAGGTGTTTAGATATTAAACACCTGATTTACTGTGATTTAAGATTATGAAGGTTTCCTTTTCTTTTTTAAATAAAAAATATCATATTCCGTTATCAGATTGTATTATCTGCTCAAAATAAGGGAAAATACACATATAAAAACAAACGAAATGACTGACTTGCGCTTCAATTTTTGCATCATGGTAGCATAATGTCGTGTGGATGTATTGCTGCAGCAGGGACTGGAACATTACACTTAATAATTGGCATCATAAGCAGAAAGCATTATGTAGAAATATTGAAGCAAAATATCAGCCAAGAAGTTAAATTTTGGACACAAGTTGATCATTTAAAAGAGGAATTACCTTGAAGATACTATCATATTACAGAAAATGACATAATAGCAACAAAGTCAACGCTTTGCAATGACCATAACCAATCCCCTGATCTCAGTCCCACTGATAATTAGTGAGCAGAGCTGCAAAACACACAAACAAAAGCTGGTTCATATTTTTAAAAAGTATAACTTAATTCTGCCATTTAATAGTCATTATTTTGAACTAAAACAAGAAAAGATTAGTCTGATTTAATGTAATACGGTAACAAAAAGCTAGGTCTATTTGAGCAATAAAATATCATATAACATGTTTTTTCTTATGCATCTGTTTTTATTTCTATTTCTCTGCTAAATTAAACATTAAAGTTCAGTTTAAAGAGAACAAATAAGCACTATAATTGTGTCATGTGGCATAAGATCTAAATTCTTTAAAAATAAAATGTTCAAAAACTGAATTGCTTTGGTTAGATTTTAAAGGATTGAATTCAGCTATTGTGACGCAACAATACAGACTGTCTGATTTACAGCTTTTAGAAAGAGAAAGGGGCGCTCCCTAGTGGACATATTGATGTAGTGCAGCTGATTGTTAGATAAATGGAAGTTGTTCAGACCCTCACACTGGTACATAAAATAGCAGTTAGTTTGCATTCAGTTGTTGAAATTAAAGCTGGCTATTTGCCTTAATATTTCTCGTTCAAAGATGATTCATCTGAAAGTCCTTTTAAAAAATGGATTTTGGGGCTTTAAACAGTAAGTCCAGTCTTTAAGAGATTTATTGAAACTTTTCCGATAAACAATAAGAATGAGTTTAGTAATCAAAACGAAATGACAATAAATCTGATCACACTCTGTCCTTAAAAGTAAGATTGCACTTCAGATGGCGATTTGAGGTGATAATCCATAAAGGAAAAGGCTAAATGGATTAAAACCTATATAAATAAATAAAGCATTAAATAAAATATTTTGCTAAAAAATGTACACATCTTATCAATTTTCAACAATTTTAGTCAACCTTTTAGTTCATTACCAATAAAATGCTCTTTACAGAGGATATATATACCGGTATGTATCTAGATAGATAGATAGATAGATAGATAGATCAGACAGACAGACAGACAGATAGATAGATAGATAGAGTTGGAGAACTCACTGACACTGGCTGTTATAACACCAACCTAAACCTAAAGGAAGTCGCATACAAAAACACAATGTCTGGTGACAAACTAAAACTACACACCCACTCATACTGACACACGGAGGTGGCAGCATCATGTTTTCCTTAAAGCTATTCTAAAGAACTTTCAGTTTTGGTCGATTTGGCTCCCCTCACTGGACAAAAGCTGTATTGTGAGGGAGGACAATATTTCCCACGCATAGCTGCATGGTAAAGATCTTAGCGTGGTAGAATCCTGATCTCTCAGTCACCTGGAGTCAGATTGAACCAGTGGCCATGTGGAAGATGAATAACGATGAGGTAATGAATCCAACTGCGGCAAATCATCATGATGTTCAAAATAAGAAACGTTTCACCCCCAGACTCATCAGCGACTAATATGCTGACGAGATTAGAGCTTTGAAACAGATAAATGTAATATTATGTTTGATAATTTCACAGTAAACAATGTATAGATCCCAGGAAGAAGGTTCAGCATTGCCTGAATATCTTCTGAATATTTTCTTTCTACTCCTCATTAAACAACAATAGAAATGGGATCTTTATGACCATACAATGCAGGCCAGCTAAAAAGCTACAGACTTGATGATTTTAGTGTAAAAATGCAGTCAAATGGAATAGAGATGTTTGTAAGTTCTCGCCTCCGGCTGAGCGGACATCAAGTCTCAGCGGTTTCTCATGAGTATCAGCAAAGTTGCAGTGTTGCATTGCAGCATAAAAAACCCCACCCCGTGTGTTTTTTCGCAGCCAAAGTTTATGTCACTCTCCAAGTATCTCTGACCGCTAACAAGAGCCTGAAGCTCTTCCACATCCAGCATGCAGATCCAGAGAGGGTCATCGACAAGCAGCAACATAACGGATTTTTTTGACTCTTGCATGTTTTTTTGTTTGTTATTTTTTTTAAAAAGCAGCAGCTGTTCCAAATTTCCAAATCGATTAAAAATCTACTGAACCATTCACACTAGGAACGACTGTATACAGTCACACACACACACACCCCTCCTCAAACTTTTTCTATTACACCCCAACTCCAAAGTGATGACATGCTGGAGATCAGGAGTCACAACTCTTTGCACACACACAGCAAACACACTGCCTATCCACTCTGGAAGAGACAGGAGCAGGTGGTAAGCCAGGGGGTACGCTCCATTTCTTTGTGGGTATTTATAACCTGTGTGAGTCGGGGCCACCACCTCTAAACAGCCATGAAAAAAAAAGTCTGAAAATAGGTGCAGGAATGAGAGCAAAGGAGCCGGACAATTCAAAAACATCCCAAAGACCTCCTCAGCCAGTATGAGATATTTCATTACTCTCCACTGCATCCAAGTCCACCCATTCAGCAGGGAATATGCTCTCATAGTTTGGTATGGTGAGACTCAGGCATTCACACATAGGATGTTGAAACAACATGTGGGAGGGGAAAAAAAAAGGTTTGATGCAATCCTTTGCTTTCCTTTAACAACATATTAGCTTAACAAAACGTACTGAAATGGATCAGATTCAGATTATTTTTATTGATTTTAACCGAATAAGGCCTTTTTTGGCATTTGTTGTGACAACCACTAAGATAAATATCTCCAACAACTCAAAATCTATTTTCAAAACAAAAAGAAATAAAGCTGCTGTTCTGTTGACCCCCTTCCAGTGTGCCATAGTATGATCTACACTGACATGTGGGGCAACAAACAGATCGTGGCGCGTAGCGTTGCATCAGCAGGCACCATTTATTCTGGATTCTATAAAAGTTCAAAGCACTCGTTCTTAAATCCACGGACGCTCTGAAATAGAACAAGCAGACAGGAAGGCGGTGGGTCAAACCCAGACAGTAACCAACACCGCTTTCTCTCCATCCCAGAGACACAAAACCGTTAATCAGGTGAATCAGCTGCTGTGTGTGAATTCTTTTCCCTGAACTTATTAGCATGGCTTACAATAAATCAAACTTTTATATGCAACAAATAAGCAGTAAAACCCAGTTATCGATAAGGCCGTTAACATTTTAGAAACAGTCACTTTACAGGTGAGACAGAAGTTAAAAATCAGTCCTTTTGGATCGGCCTTTTATAAGCATTATAACTATTATTTTAATGGTTTATACTGAATTAACTGTTCAGTTAACATAAAAATAACTTGAGTAGTCTTATTATTACGAGGTACCCTCTGCTAAACAGCTCTACGTTCAGACCCATAAAAACAGCCAATAAATCATAGATAAACTAGTTATATATGAAACTGTGAGAGTTTATACTACATTATTTAAAAGATTGCAAGATTAAACATCTCTCACCCTTTAACACAATACATCATCCTTCTTTACAATTGCTTTAGAAAGCCTTAAAACCAAAATTAATTTCAGTTAATATTTAAGGCGGTCTTATAAAGTTTAACCTTCAAAAGTGTGTGTTTAAAAAATAAGCGATCATAAAAAAGGTAGAAGGTTTATATAATATTTATAAATAATTATGAAAATAAAAAATATACATACATAAAAAAGTAGCTTCATACAGGAAATATCATTCTGGTATTAGTTATGCTGTGGATATTAAGCAATATGCCCTCAGCAATGGTGGGGTTATATCAAACTGATTCCTTCTATTGTACATCTGTGCAAAAAGATTCTCCCTATAAGTACTAATACATTAATTAATTATTTATGATAAATCTGTGATCATATTAATAGACATTACTGGAAATGAGAGATAGGAAATATGGCCTGTCAAATGTTAATATGCTTTAGTATCTGAAAAGTCTGATTATTAATCGTTTATAAACCCTTTATAAGCAGAGCCTGATCGTTAAGTTGTACCAAAATGATTGATCTGTTTGTAAAGTATGTCCATGGAAGCAGAATGATAAAATGTTCCTAACAAGCAGCAAAACTGCTTGGAATCTATTTTAGAGACGGGGTGATAATGGTTTGCATTTTTTAGGGGGGAGACTGATGCGGGATCAGTGGTGACTAGCAATTAAAGTTTAGCTGCACTTCAAGTGGAGATGAGTGTGCAGATCTGCTATATTCCCCCCCCATCTGATTTCCATCAAACTCAACATGCATTTTTTCTTTAACAAACTCAGCAAACTGCATGACATCAAGGCAAGACTTATTTTTCCTTCTGTTTGCAGGAGAACAAAGGAAACCAAATAATGTACCTCAGCAAGCTGAATGATCTCAGGATGCACCTCGCCATCTGCCTTCACAGGGATTCCTTCTGTATCTGTACCAGGCCTGTCCTCCTTTATCTTGCCGCTGCTATGCATACACCCCATACTTCCAGCTTTTCACTCTTCCCGCGGTGCATTCACTGTCCTCAGTCTTTAGGCACTCCTTCCACGCCAGCACTCCGCTCCCGGCAGCTCTGGATTGACTTTTTGTCTGTCTCTCACCGCTTCATATTTTGTTCTGATTTCTTCCTCTCCCACATTTTCCTCCTCCCCCTCTTCACACCTTCTGCCCCGCTCTCTGACAGCTTGTCCTGTCTTGAAACCAACCCCAGATGACTTTCAGCTTCCCCGGACTCTCCCCTTACAACCCTTCTTTCTCACCCACCCACCCTGGAAGAGGTGTCACTGAGAGCTGACCCTCCTCTCTATCTCTTCTTCCTGTATTCTCCAGCTACCCTCACCACTGACCATCTCTTCCCCCTCTTCTCTTTCCCTTCACCAGAACCTCCAAACCCTAACCCCCCTCTCTCTTCGCCCTATCTCAGGCTCCTCTTGCCTTCCCTCCACATGGGAGAAGGGGCAGCTGTTTTGTCTTGTTGATGTCACACCCTTCCCCTTCTTTCTGGCTTCACGTCAGGCCCTCTGGTTCTCTTAAAATGATAAGAAGGATCCTTTCGCCTCTCCAGAGGACAACTTTAAAATCATAAAACTGCAACCTTTCCTTTTGCCTTTTACCTTTACATTTTGACATCTGTCTGCTGATTCTCCAAATGTGATTAACTTCCCTTCTCTGCTTGATAGAGCACATGACATCAACTTTCATGCATTTATTCCTTCTGCTCAGCTCTCTCTCTCCTGCGAAATGAAAACAATGATCGGCTCTGTGCTTAAATCAAAGATCTGTGCTCCCCTCGCTTGATAAATTCCTTCAGACTGCAATGCTCTCCTTCTTAGGAACTCACACAGAACCATATTTCCTCCAAGTGGGTTCCCCAGACAAAATTCTGCTGTAAGCCAGAGGTTTTAGGGTTGCGGGGTAAAAAAATAAATAAAAAACACCCATCCAACAATAAGCTCTTTCTACAGCCAAGTTTTTCAGCCAGCAGTCAGAGCATACAAAGCGCTCTTTGGTTGAAAACTGAGACAGATCCAATGGTTGAGGGCTATTTTAGGCTGGAAACCATCAACATGTGTTTTGTGAGGGTTTTCAGACGAGAAGTACTTCTTGTGTTTCTGTCCTAAAGCAGACTTAGACTGTATAAATCGCAAAGATGATTAAAATAAAAAAAAAATTCTATGTAGTCGCATAACTTTAATTTGAGAAATGAAAAAAACTCAAATATTTCGAAAATTAAAGCTACTAAAACTGTGACAAACAGGGTTGGAGGAAGACATGAGTTTATCCTGCCATCAGTGAGCAGGATGGTAAGAAGGTTTATAAAAGAAATTGCAGCAAACCCTGGCATTGTGCATGAACCCAGTAGTGATTATATTAATACACACCATCTACATGCTAAAGGGCTAAAAGGCTTTCCCAGCTTCGCAAATGAAATGTGTTTTGGTCAGATGAGACGATATTTGAGCAAACTTTAAAACAACGAACATGTAAAAAGTAAGTTAGTAAGTATGGCGGTGGGGCATGTTTCTCTTCCAGTGTCTCAGGAAATCTTAATAGCACGCATGCTGACCTACAAAATGCTCTACTTGTAAACTGGATAGGTGGGAACAGGTCTTTCAGTGGGATGATCTGATATAAAAATAGCTGAATTAAGACAGAAATGGTTTGTATGACATTAGTTTACATCACTTTCATTGGCATCTCAGTCCCACATCCCAAAAGGCTAAAAAGGCTGCATGGTAAGCTAAAGAGAAGAGGTGACATGAGAGGCCTGAGGACTCTGGATGGAGCAGTGTAGTAAAGTAAGTATTGTGAAAAGATGTTCATATTGAAAAATAAACTGACTGTTCACTGCAAAAAATCTAAATCTAGATAAGTAATTTTTCTTAAAATAAGTGCATTTGTTCTTGGATTGGGGAGGTGAAAGAGTCATTTTGTCAATGGAACAAGACAATTTACACTTAAAATAAGAAAACACAATTGCATTGTCTTATTTCAAGTGCATATTATCTGATTATCTTATTTCAAGAGTAAAATTATTCATTCCATTGGCAAACTATCTCATTTACCTACTCAAATTAAGGGTAAATACACTTAATTTAAGAAATCTTTACTTATTTCTAGATTGTTTTTGCAGTGTTCTGCTGCACACTCCTATCTTTCGATGTCAGCTTCATCAGCTCCACCAACTGATTTAAATATGCAGAAACTCAAGGACTTTCTAACAACCTCAGCATGTCAATGTGACCAGCCCTCCCACCCCAAATTCATCCACAATAATGGTGTCCCTCAGGGGTGAGTTCACCCTACACCTGCGATTGTGTAGCTACAATGGCTTCAAAGCATCCATTGTGAGTTAGGTCAGCAAAGATGAGACACCATAAAGAGGTCCAAGCTCTGCAGAACTGGTGCAAAAACAGCCGCCTCAAGCTCAACACCTGGAAGAGGAAATAAACCATCATTAACTTCTGGATGTCAGAAGTTAGCAGCAATTAGACTTGAGCATCAGCAGGACAGAAATGGGGCAGCGAGTTTGAAGCAACACAGCTTCTTCACCATAAACATCACAACATTTTCACACATATCTAAATTACAGTGACACAATATATACTAACATATATGCATATATACAGAGATGGGAAGTAACAAAGTACAAATACTTTGTTACTGTACTCAAGTAGATTTTTCTGATATTTTTACTTTACTACTTATTTTATGGCGACTTTTTACTTCTACTCCTTACATTTTTACACAAATATCTGTACTTTCTACTCCTTACATTTTAAAAAATTGGCTCTTTACTTTAGTTTTGAATCATTTCAATGGAGTTACCGTTATTATTTTTCACGTCATCAATACCAAATTCAATCTAATTGGATGGGAATCTACGTTGCATTTGACGCACCACTACAAGATGAATCGACAGATTCGGCGGTATTCATTCGCGGCAAATCATTGCAGCTTGGTGGCGGTGGCGTTAGCATAGTAGTATGGACGACGAGATGATTGAAAATGAACACAACGGAGATCTAGTCCTATTGGCAGACATCCATTTAAAATGTAGGCAACGGCATGAAAAAAGTGGTTTCTACTTTTACTTTTATACTTTAAGTAAATTTACAAGCCTGTACTTTGTTACTTTTACTTGAGTAAAGAAGTTTAATTAGTACTTACACTTTTACCAGAGTATTTTTTAACACAAGTATCTGTACTTTTACTCAAGTATATATATATATATATATATATATATATATATATATATATATATATATATATATATATATATATATATATATATATATATATATATATATATATAGTTTTACAAGATTGAAAACTGCAATTATTGAAGTCCATTTGATCTTTCATTAAAGGAAGAGTAGGACAAACAAAAAGGTTTGATAAAGAGAAAAAAGGGGGGAAAAAACTGTAGATATCTGCATAAGATCAAAGTGTGCCCATTTATCATTTAAATGTAAACTTGTTTACAGTGTCAAGCCTTAATCATCAGGCACAGGCGAGTTGTTGATGGTTGGTATGTAACTTCAATCTCTAAGCTGCGATCCTCAGCATATTACATATTAAAGATTTCATGAAGCAGCTAGACATTAGCCTTTTGTATCATCCTGCAACTAGAAGGCGTAAATTCTTGGGAAAATTAAGTTAATTAGGTGATGGATTTGAAAACTGTGGTTAAAAATGTAGGGACAATAAAGTATAGCTGATATCTATACATTTAGCAAATTGCAGAATTGAGTAATAGTTTAGTGTTAACCTTTATGATGCATTTTGTTACAGTATAATTATACTGAAACAAACCTGTATTTATAAATTATTTGGGGTTTGTGTGACAGACCACATAAAGTAATGCATGATTGTGGAGAGGAGGGAAACTAGTCCTGTTTTTTTAGCAACAAGAATGTTGGGTGCTGCATATTTGTATGGGCCGCATCTGAATGAACTCTTTCTGGAACGCTTTACTGCAGTTACAGCAGGAGCTCTGATGGGGGCCCCTCTAAAGCAGTAAGTATTTTCTCCACAGAATAGTTCAAGCTTAGTCAGCTCTTTTAAATTCCTGACATTATCAACTAGAATCTGTAGAAGCCATTCTAATATTTTATCTCTTGTATATTGAAGACATTTCAGCATCTCAATGCTAATGATCTCTTTATTCCAGGATGACTACAAATATTGCCACGGCGATGTGACTCTGTACTCGGCTGTTAGCAGGAAGGTTGTTTTCATCACGTCTGACCAAAGGATGGTTTCCCTGTCCTTAAATGAAGTGCAAACGAAGTTTTAATTTATTCTTAGTCAATCTTCACTAAAACATGATTTTTGAGAGGACAGTTAATACTTGCATTGACAACAGACTCTCCTAGAAGAGCTGTGAATCTTTACAGCTCCTCCAGAGTTACTTTGGGTTGTTCCTACATGCTTCTCTCCTTACTGCTCCTTTAAGTCAATTTAACAGTTCTTCACAAAAATCCAAACCTGTCGACTGTTTTCCTTAAGCCTCTGAGGGATTCCCACAACAGCTGCATTTATGACATGTTTAACATTAACAGGAACAGATTAGCTTCAGTTTTGTCTTGGAAGTCTTTCCACTCATGGCTGACTTAATGTAAATGCAAACAATATTGTTCTTGTTCAGCGCTGCCTCAACGATGAAGAGACGTTTGGGTTAAAAAACAGGAAGAAATATTTTCCAGTGCAAACGTACAGATGTTTTTCACCTCTTTTCAGCAAGCAGAAAGAAGGCACTCAGAGCTGAGACCTCCAGCTGTCTCCTACGCTCACTCTGGTGAAGGCATAGCTCCCCAAATCACCACTGTGGAAACTTCTCTCTGGACTTCAAGCAAGGTTGATCCCGTGCCTCTTCACTTTTCCTTCACACTCCGTCATTTTTTTTTATTAAAAGCAAAAAAAAAAATAATCTAAAACGATAGCTTTGGACCACTGGACACAAGTCTGGTTCTTTTTCTCTGTGACAATCCTGTCAAAGTTTTTCTTATTCACATTTCTGGTGAATCCCTTTCTTCCACAATATCTATCTACTCAACCTTTTCAGTTGTTGAGTAAAATTTTGGTTATTCATGACCTTCAAGTCCAAATAATTAAACTTACATGCAACAAACTGTTATACTTATCCTATTTGTACACATTTTGTTAATGAATCACAAAAATATTGAAGCTTTTCAGTATACTGTAAATACATTTAGAAAGTTATGCCTTTCATCATTCTATTTCTATTCTCCCTCTCTGCAGAATCTGGTAGTTCAATCTCTAAGACTATGCTATGATTTTTCAAACAGTAGCTTCGCCTCTTCTGTTCCCGTTTGGCTGCGACACCACCCTGGAGAGAAATATCAGCTCTGCTGCTGCCATCAACACCTTTGTTTAGGGATGTTCGAGATGTGCCTGTTTTTCAGTGTAGTCCTGTTTCTCTGACTGTGACTAACTGGATGTGCTCTCTTCATCCTCTGACATGGGAGCTGGCTCGGAGCTCGCCTGCATGGCTGTGTGTTTCCTGGACGGGGCCGCCTGTGGAGCTGGATTACAGTTCCCTTGAAAACCAGTCTGCCTCAGCAGATGGCCGCTCACACCGAGTCTGGTTCTACTGGAGGTGTCTTCCTGTTAAAATTGAGTTTTTCCTCTCCACCGTCGCTACAAGCATGCTTAGTGTGAGGGATTGCCTTTGAGTTAATGACTCGATGCAATCTACCGATCTGGTTGAACTTTAAAGTGAGATGAGATGATCCGTTGTGAATTCGTGCAATATAATTAAACTGAATTCAATTTAAAGTTGGGTTTAGCAAAGTTGCTACAAAGCTACAGGATCGTCGCGCAGCAACAGTTTACTGGTTGATAATCTCTCATTTGTTTGGTTTTGATCCAACCTTTAAATGCTTTTTATGCTTCAGGCCTCGACTCTGATGCGAAACGGTCTTCAACACCATTTAATAATTGAACTTTATTGATCTCACACTGGGGAAATTTACCTCTGCATTTAACCCATCCCATTGGGGAGAAGTGTGGGTTTAAGGGTCTTGCTGAGCGACCCAGAGTGCTGACTGTGGGGATAAAACTGGGTAATTGCAACCTTCAATCCCCATCATTTTAGATATCTGAATTTATAGTATGAAATACTGTAAACTCTAACTTCTTCCTACAAAATAAAATTTATGATTGTCATAAAACGTAAAGTTAAAAGATTTGTGAGGCACTGCCCATTTCTGCCTCTGTTTAGCTGAAAGACCAACAGGCTCATGCATACAATATGAAAAGCTGGATAGAGCTAAAAATCCTCCTGCATGTGTGGAAAGTCTGAGCAGCTGCTGAAAGGTTGGACTCTCAGCAGGGTGCTGAGGCTGAAGAAACAAAGGAAGCTAATTGTGTCAGAGACCACACCCGGAGAACAGTTAGAACAACATCTAAAACACTTTGTCGTTTCATATGTGGGGCTTATAACTCACCACTTTGCAAACACTGGTTTCGTGGTTCAATTTGCTGGACTGATTGAGCTGCTAGTAAATGTCACTGACCTGAAGCCGTGCAACAGCTGCTGCAAAAAGCAAAGACCACATAATCTCCAAATCATAAGGAACGGAAGGATGATTCCTCATTTCATGGAAGTCTTCCAAACCTACTTCTGTATCAGTGTGGAGATATGCAGGGTGAATGATAGACGGCTAGAGAGGCCATTACATGACAAAAGCACCTTTATGGGCATAAAACTAAAAACAGGAACACCTGTACAGCAATGGGGGAAAAACAAACGGCACTTTGATTCTCCATGGGAATCTCGTGGAGACAGCTTCCCTTTAAGGCCCCGTCCACACGAAGACGAACCCTGGCCTAAACGCACAAATTTTTCACCAAACCAGCCTCTCATCCACACGAAGCCGGCGTTTCGGGGGTCTGTAAACGATTTTTTTTTTTTATTCAGCCTTCAGAGTGGGAAGATTTCGAAACGCCGTTTTAGCGTTTCCATCTTTACGCTCTAACCGCATATTTTTTTTTACACGCATGCGTCATAGCGTCGCCTCTAAACACGCATGCGCGACACATCACAACAACAATAGCGCCGTTGCTGCTAATGCTACTCACTCTGCTGTCGGGCTTACAACAGAATCTTCTTCTTCTGGAATATCTCCAGGAAGAACAGAGCAATATCGACGACATAGTTCAGCACCTGAATTTGACATAACCACGAAAATGGACCCGCAGGGCAACCATGTATAAATATTAGTGCGCATGCCCAACATTTCGTCGCTTATTTTTGCTTTGGCACCACAGCGCCACTTACAGGCCTGGCATACATTTTGCAGCGTTTTCATGCATTCGTGTGGACGCTCACATTTATTTTACGTCTCCGTCTTTACGGCAAACGTTTTGGAAAATATCAGCGTTTCGTGTTCGTTTTGACTTCGTGTGGACGGGGCCTGAGTCGTAGCATATAAACACTGCAGTCATATAGTTCGTCTAATGCTACCAGTCAACCCAATTCACAACTTAAAATAATGAGTCATTAGCTGAAAGGTGATGCATGATTGGCAGAAGGCGTTTAATTTAGTAGCCAACACTTCAAGCTTGTTGAGCGTTAGTGGAAGACATTGTTCATCGATGGATTAGCTGGGATCAGCTTTATAATACTGAATATTATCAGATGACAGAAATAAAATTCACTTAGTAAGCTACTGCTCATTTTATTCAATCCCAACTCTGCACACCTAGAATCCAAAAATGTACAAAGGAATTTTTTTCCTCACTTTTTCATTTATTTATTACAATTAATTCAATGTTTGCCATCACTATTTCACGTGTCAGCGTTTCCGTTTAAAACAAGTCCAGAATGCGACTGTTTTTCTTCTGGAACCTGAAGAGTCCTGAAGGTGGATGGGGGTGGGGGGTTGAAAGTAAAGGACAGGTTTGTAGCAGGAAAAGAAGGGGGAGGAAGGGAATAGAGGGAGAGAGACGGAGTGGCCCCTTCCCCTCAGAGCCACTTCAGTGTGAGAAGATTATTTTTTTTTTTTTACGTAGACTAGGTGAGATTTTTTTTTCTTTTTTTCTGGAGTTTTATCATTTTCTCCTCTTGATGAGCTTTCGGTCTGGCTTCGACATTTACTCGACGTCCTCGGCGTCGTCTCCTTGGTCTCCGTCCATTAGCAAAGCGGCGTATTTGCTGGCTGAGCTGAATTTCTAAAACAAGGCGAAAAATAATAAAAAAATCAAAGAAATCATTAATTCACTCAATATCTGGAAGTGTTCATCTTGTAAAAATTAGAAGTGTTATTATACTTCATTTGGCTTTTTTTTTTAATGTTATTTCTGAAGTGTCACTGTTTAAGTTGACAGTGGTTAAGGCTTTCACTACCACCTGAGTTAGAGGGTGATATCAGTGGGTCTACTACAACCCCCCATTATCTGTTCTGGTGTTTTAATTGATCTTTAATCATAACCAATGTGTAGATAATGAAAGCACTGATCTAGACAGGCATTTCTCTCTGAGGACTGGGGCCTTGATTTCCAAACAAACATTGGGATTTTTCACCTTTTTATTTTCTTATTGTAGGTTTTCATGTAAAAATAAAACTTTCCGTTAACAACTCTATTACTATAATACCATGGACAGATTAATACTGAACTATGTTGACTTACGGGGATTGGGGTTTCCTCATATCTCTTTGGCTCTGGAGGCGGTCTGGACTCTCGTTTGTTGTCCTTTCTACAAACAGAACAAACAAAGTAAAAGGTTTAAACAGATAATTCATCAGGATAAAACGTGTTGTGCTAAAATCCACCAGTTTAGGTCTAAATTATATTTATTTGTGCAACATATTTAAAGTTCAACTATTCCACTGATTGGATCTAGGTAATCCATTTATATTAAAGATAGATTTTCTTTTTTTTTTTTAGCTCCGATTTTAATTTTTCTGCATGATTTAGTAAAGAAAAGGATGGGCATTTCTATGTGGAAGTCAAGTTGTAGAAAATAAAAAGGGCAAAAATGAATGAAGCCGTAACAGAGTAGGTCAATCTTTCCAGATGCCCAGAAACTGTTCTCTCCGTCTCATTAGGAGCTTTAAAGTACCATTTCTTCTCATTTTATTGCTGACCTGTCTGCCTCCTTTTTTCTGTCTTTGTTGGGCACCTCTCCTCGGCCCCGCCCAGCTCCAGGCCCTGCAGGCCCCCCTCGTGTCCGTGGGGCCCCTCGGTCCCGACGAACACCATCAGCCTTGTTCTCATCTTTAAAAAGATGACAGACATTTGAGTGAGGGCCTGATTGCGCCGTTTGTACAATAGACAAAAAGTCTGCATTAAAAGCTACTGATCCGAGTTCAAAAGGCTTTGTTACAGAAGTAACAAATGAGCAGTGAACCACTTAATATAAAGCTGAAACAAAAAGTATCCCAATAAAAATCTTTAAATGTTAAAGAAAAAGTTGATAAAGAATAAAAGCTGTCAAATAAATAGTGACAGTGAGGAAAATAAGTATTTGAACACCCTGGTATTATGCCAATTCTCCCACTTAGAAATCATGTAGGCGTCTGAAATTGTCATCCTAGTGCATGCCCACCGTGAGAGAAAATCTAAAATAGCAAATCCAGAAATCACAATATATAATTTAACCACTTGTAATATACAGCTGCAAACGAATATTTCAATGCCTCTATTAGCAAGAATTCTGAGCCTCAAAGACCTGTTAGTCTGGCTTTAAAATGTCCGCCTACACTGCATTTATTACCCTAAATTAGATGCACCTGTTTGAGGTCGTTAGCTGCATAAAGACACCTGTCCAATCAGTAAGAATCGCACTACTAACATGACAAAGACCAAAGAGCTGTCCAAAGACTCTGGAGACAAATATTGTAGACCTCCACAAGGCTGTAAGGGGCCACAGGGAAAATGCCAAGCAGTTTGGTGAAAGAAGCAATGATTAGAAAATGGAAGAAGCCAAACATGACTGTCAGTCTCTCTCAGAAAGGGGTTCCATGCCAGATCTCACCTTGCGGGGTCTCAATGATCCCAAGAAAGGTGAGAAATCAGCGCAGAACTACACAGGAGGAGCTGGTCAAAGACCTGAAAAGAGCTGGGACCACCGTTTCCTGGGTTACTGTTGGTAATACACTGATATATCATGGTTTGAAATAATGCATAGCATGACGCGGTTCCCCTGCTTAAACCAGCACATGTCAAGGCCTGCCTTAATAAGTTTGCCAATGACCATTTGGATGATCCAGAGGAGTCATGGAAGAAAGTCATGAGGTCAGGTGAGACCAAAATAGAACTTTTTGGTCATAATTCCATTAAATGTCTTTTAAGGAAGAATGATTAGTGCCATCCCAAGAACACCATCCCTACTTTGAAGCATGGGGGTGGCAGCATCATTCATTGGGGGTGATTTTCTGCACATGGGACAGGGCGACTGCACTGTATTGGCCATGTATTGTGAGATTTTGGGGAACAACCTTACCTTTTCTCAGGTGTTGAAATACTTATTTGCAGCTGTATCTTACACACTAAGAACACTAATAGTGTTGGGACATTGCCATTTCTTGGCCCCGATACCTGGCTGTGCATTATCGACCGATACCATATCGATACCATCTGTTTGAAATTGATGTGTGTGTGTTTATGTATGAAGAACCACATACCACTTGGATGTAAAATAAATGCCATCATGGCTTTATCAAGCTGCTGCCTACCTTAGTCAGCAAAAAGACTAATACAAAGTGAATCCAACAGAACTTTTTCATTGCCTACCTGGAATTTTATTTCCCTTGTATGTCTTGTACATATGAAGAAAGTGTCAATAAAAGCTGACTTGACTTGGGTGACAATAGTTTAATAAACTTTTGGCTCTCAAAATGGTGTCAGTGGCCCATTTGTTGGTACTCGCCGATACCACCATTTTAGTGCTGTATCGAGGCCCCGCCTGATACTGGTATCGGTGCAACTCTGCAAATTAATAGTTAATCATATATTGTCATTTGTGGATTTTAACATTTTTTTTTAGATTATGTCTCTCACAGGGGAAATGCACCTAAAATGAAATGACTTCTTAGTGGGAGAACTTGCAAATAGCAGGGTGTTAAAATACCTATTTTCCTCACTCTAAGTGGAAATTATTTTGGTTTATTATGAGCATAATCTAGCCCAGCAACACAATACTATATTAAAAATTCATTCATGTATTGCACATACAAGAGCTCCAACTCTAAACATGACCACAAAATAGTTGATTTTATTGCAAGCCGTTTGTCATTTTCCCAAGCAGAGGTTGACAGTATTGCTTAGCATAAATAGCTTGTTTTACTGGTAAAACTATAAACATTGTCAAATCCAAACGACACAGAAGATGTTTCCTGCTAGTTTTTCCTGAAGATGCACAGAGAGCCCCTGCTTACCAGAAGGGCAGTTCTTTGTACCAATGTGTGCCAAGGCTATGAAACAGTTCAACATTTTTAACCTGAAAAATGTTAAAGTCTTTTGCAGGATTTAGCTTTTAATTTAAATGTCGCTGCCTAATTCCCACTTGAAAATTAGATCCAGTGATCTAATCTTTTTTTTTTTTGAATAGGTTAAAGGAAATCAAACCAGTTTAATGAGATGCAAGCAAATTATTGCAGTAAGCAGTTTCTTCTGGCATCTTGAAGCTGCTGAGTAAAGCTGTCACACCCCTCCTCCACCCGTTGCTGTAGCTTGTACCACTGGCTCTTGTGTTGGGGGTGTTGATGACAGATTCAACATACCTCGCAGATGTTACAATAAAAATGAATCAAAACCATTTAACTGTAGCTTTTACACACATCAATTTAAAGAAAAACAAAAAACAAAAACAAGGAATAAATTTAAACGAGTGGACAGTTAAGAAAATCTAAGTTGATATCGACATAAGTATTGCCATTAAGGACAAAACCTGAAATGTACCAATATTGCATACATTTGCCTACCCTTTAGACACTATTAAAAATCGACCACAGTTCTGACACTGCTTCAGTTAAACACAATCCTGAGCTGCATCACAGCCACTGTCACATGACAAAAACAACAACTGATAACCGAAAAAAACCAACGACTACACAAAGATAAATATCGATTGCCAATATATGCCATGGGCCAACACTGAAACTTATCTCAAGACAAATTGTTTAGAAATCAAGATTCCCTTGTAACCCAGCTTAAGACCAAGAAACAAATACAACAGGCTACAACATTGTGGACAAACTGGTATCAAAACAAACTTGGTTTTCAGTGCAGGGATGCAACATAATTTGAATGGAAACAAAGTCTGGTTTTATGCAGAGCTTGATCCTTAAGGAGAGTCTGGTACCAAGGATGTAAAAATGATCCCCGTGAACCAGTAATATTCTTCCCTTTGAGTATTTTGCCTTGTGCTGATATCTTTTAAAAAGAACAAACAAATCTGTCTACTCATGTGCAGAAGTTTGCACATCAGAACTTTGGTAGAAAGGGTGTCAAAAGTTTTTCTTTTTTTCCCCCCCTTGTACTGAAAGGAAGAGCTTTGTATGAAAGGTTGATTCTCACTCCAGCTTTTTATTCAACGGTATGGGATAGTTTATAGCCTGATGGGCCTGTCAGACAAACTATTTCTTGTGGAGGGTACTACTAAATGACAAATAGTTTATCATCTGGTTTACAAAAAAATAAATCCATTTAGAGGATATTTAGGATGCAAGAGAGCATAACTAGATACAAAACAGCAAGGCTGCACAAATTACAGCAAATGTGCTTGACTTTCAACTTTTTAAACCACTGTCAGGGAGTAGCCGACTTTGAAAAGGAAGCCAAGATCAACTCTAAATATCAAATTATGTCACATTTGTTTAAAATAAAAATCCCTTAAAAATGAGATTCTTTTACATGCTGAGATTTCTGTGCCTCCAATATCAACAATAAATCAACATAGTCTACAATAATTTCATATTAAAGCAAACTGTTTCGAATGAGACTTTTTAAACACACTGCTTCTAATTTTCAGTAAATACTGATGAAATTTATCCCTGAATCGATGCAAAGATTTCCTTTAAAAGATAAAGCAGAGATTACAAAGGCCGCCTTACGATGGTCAATAGAGCACCAATGTGGCTTTAGGGATAAATGGCCTATCTAGTCCATCTTTTGCTTGAACTGCTGCTGTAAATTGGTTTAAATTATCAGTTGAGCTGTAAACTGATAGCCGCAGTTTTCAGGTTGTGTTCATCACTCGGTGGCAAACCTCACCTTTTCCAGACGCCCTTTCATCTCCAGAACTTGGGGAGCTACAGCAAAGAAACAGGAATAAGAGATAACCTTAAAATCCACTTTCTTAATGATAGAAAGGGATCAAAATATTAACATTCCCCATTTACACAGCCCTCACCTGAATTTGGGGGGAGCCGAACTGCTCGGAGAGACAGGAGAGACCGGGGGTCGACTGTCTCCCTCACTGGATCCTGTACTCACAGCACTTCTTTTGGCCCAGGCATTCTCCTTGGGAGGAGGGGCAGGCATCACTTTCAGCGGCTCCTTTGAGGAGCTGGTGGAGGTCGGCCGTGGTGAGGATCCAGGGGAAGAATTCCCTTCTTTCCCAGAGAAAACCTCATTCTCCCCAGGCCGTTCGCCATCTAGGCACCTTGAACCTGGCAGAAAAAATACTTTTTAGGAAACTATAAATGCAAAAAATGTTAAATGGCACATGGAAGACGAGTTTATATAAAAAGAAATGCATTTTAAGATCCGTTAGTGAAAACCGGGCGACAAATAGTCTACCGAAAGTAAAGATACTGCTTAAATATTACATCCTTCACATTATTGAACAATAAAAGCACTTAAAAGTTGGTTTTATTGGAATTTCAGGATTATTGCTATTAGTAGTACATTTCACTATTATGCACTCCCCTGCACTGATCACATGAAATCAATATTAAACGCATGGGGTTCTATAGTTTTGCTTTGAATACTTCTTTACCGCATAAATGGGAAGAAAAATGATAATAATGTTCACATCTAGCGATGTTTAAAAGACAGGCTTTGATGTCGGGGTGAAGATCTCACCTCTCCCAGAGGTGCTTCCTGGCTGTGAAGACTCGCTCTCGGTGCGAGATCGCTCAGAATGAGGTTCCTCATTGCGCCAGCTGGGGTCCCTTAAAACATGGATGGAACGTTTCATTTTATAGATACCTAGAAATGACTCTGCAATAGCAAACAAACTAAAACGGATATGAATACTTTTATATCCATTTAACAACAACATCTGATCACAAATAGAATCAAAAATGTTTTATCAAATGCTACTCCAAACCTCCCATTAATTTCCATGAGAATCTAGAAAAAACAAGAAAAACTTTAATGGATCGGGAGACAAATTTCTAGGCTTCTGTTAGACTATGAACTGGTTTTTGCAGGCGGTGATAGTGGCTAAACAGATTTGTTCACTAAAGACTCCCTAAAGTCTCTAGAAGGGCTCTCATCCCATAAACTGAGGATTGTTTGCATCCAACTATTTTCAATGTTCCTGTCATAGGTGGTCATTATCTGGGTGGGTTCCATGAATTTCTACTAATGGGACAGATCTTTATCTTTTTCATAAAGCTTAGAACTAGATTTTCATATCCTTATTGCAACATATCTGGAAATAGAGATCAATACATTTACTAATATTCCCAATTTGCTGAGACCAGCTATGTTCTTTGTTGTTTTGGCTACAATACAGTTAACATCTGGCCTGGTGTTTCTGTGAGCAATCGGGTGGACTTGCGGGGACATTTTTTGCAGGAAATTTTATAATGCCACATTTTTTGCTAACTACTCATAACTACAGGTGAGTGAGAAGTTTGTTCTCAAAACAGGAATAAAATGATCTATTTAGAACTGCAGTGCTTAAAGTTCTCAGCCGTAGTGGCGAAATTCTGCCGTGGGGCTAACTGCGGTGGTACTGGAAGAAATGGAGTTGTGTATTGAAAGGCACATTTTTTAAAACTGTCAGAAAAAGTTCCAGGTCCAGATAGCTAACAAGCTAAGAAACAGCTTACTGTAGCCGAATGTTTTGCACAAAGCACCACTCATTACAGGAAAGGAGCAGGGATGCTATGAGCTAGGGTTGTCACGATACTAAACTTTTCAACTCGATACCGATACTAAGTAAAATATTCGATACTCGATACCCTTTTCGATACCACAAGAATAAAAACAAAGATTTTAAAATTCAACAGAAATATTTTCATTACTAAAAAAAATACAAGAAATAAATAAAAAAAACAATAAGAATAATATTTTGAGGTTGTATGCTGTGCACAATATTAAGCAAGCTTGATAAAAAACTTAAAATTAAAATTAAGTGTTCCTTCCTTGGCTATGTTTTGCAGACATAACAATGACACTGGCCAAAGCAGTTAAACAAAAATAATTCTCAGCAGCTGCACCTGTTACAAAAAAAAGTCTGAAACTGAAAAATGCACAGAATTATTCAATCACACAGTGTTTAGAAAATGCATTTTCCACTATTCTGCACTTTAGATGGCTGTATCGATACTTTTTAAAATGAGTATTGTATCCGGATACAACGTTTCAGTATCGATACTTTTTTGAGTATCGATACTTTTGACAACCCTACTATGAGCATAGGCAAACACATGGTGCCTGTTTGTACTTATCGCTTTTCTTAATAAGGAAAAAGAAAAAAGAAAATCTAATTAAAAATAAAATTGGGAGATTTTGCCCAAACCTACTGCAGAGTTAACGTAAAGATATTCAACGTCCACTTTCAATTCATACTTGTTCTAGAGCTGAGTTTGCTGCACAGTCAGTTTCCTTTCCTTAGACAGAAAACTTTTTATTTTGTCAACAGCACAACAAACTGAACTTATAGCTGACCTGCTATCTGTTTAAATCAATCAAACCTAGACTGCTACACAGTTCTGTGATATTGAATTAAACAGTAAACAAATGGCTTTAATGATACAGTTTCTTATATTGTTGCTAGCATAGGAACCACACGCCCTTACCGGTCCCTCATCTTTCTATCAGGTCCTCGGCTTTTGTCCACCTCAAGTTGTCTTTGCAGCCTCTCCTCCTCTTTCTTCAGCCTCTCCTCCACCTCCCTCTCCTTGGCTGCGGTGTCAACTGGTTTTGCCCCCCCAAATATGGACGAGGACCTGCCTCCAGAGGTTGGAGGGACAGCTGGGGATGTACCCCCGCTGCTGGTACCTTCCTCCTCTTTCGGTACACTGCGGGGCTTCAAATTCAACTTGGGTCTTTGCTGAGGGGCTGGGGAGGGAAAACAAAGTTGGAACATGTCTTCCAAACACAGAATGGATGCATGTATGTTAACTTAAAACTGCAGGCAGGAGTAAATTAACAGACTACTGCAGTGGTGTGTGGATTCATTTGGTGTTGAGATTAGGAATAGAGACATTGATTCACACTAATCAATACCTGGAAAACATCAACTTAAATAGTCATTCTTTTTTTCCAGACTGCATACAAACTCTAGAAAAAAAAAAATGCATTAATGTGAACTCACCTCTCTCCTCACGCCTTTCATCTCGTCTCTCGAACCGGTCTTCCCTGTCGCCATAACGATCTCTGTCGCCGAAGCGATCATTACTACCTCGACCATCTTCGTAATCTCGACGGAAGCTGCTTCCAAAGGCACGGCGCCCTCCCCCACCTCGGGAGTCAAAGCCTGAAAAGACAGGCAGAAATGATGAGGCTGTAAACGGGAAAGAGCTAACCCAAGTAACCAGCAGGGGAAGGAAGGTCAGGAGCAAACAAAAAAACTCACCTCCTCTGTCGTCATAGCGATCCCTGCGGTCCCTGTCATCATAGCGATCACGGTAGCGGTCTCTTCCTCCATCGTAACGATCGTCCCGCCGTGACCCTTCTCTGTAACGGTCGGACTCGTAGCGGTCGCGTGATCCTGAGACGGGATAAAAAAGAACTAGGACCCAACTGGATTTCTTCCCTAAACACTTTTGAATAAAACTTTTCCTATTAGAACACATTTTGTTCCATTTCACATTTTTGGTTACACTAAAAAAGCTGGCTATGCTCTAAAAAAAAAAAATTCGTCAGCTAAACCAGTACCAAACCAGTCATAAAGGCTATGTTCACACTGCAGGCCTTGATGCTCAATTCTGATTTTTTTGCGGTTCATATTTCCAAATATATGCGACTTGTATGTGATCTCCTGTGTGAACTGCAGTCATACAACGAAAGTGTCCCGCATGCTCAGTAGAGGACGCAATGACGTCACAGGCCAGCATGCTCTTTTTGCCGACACGCATCTAGCGGAAAAAAGGAATAGATCTGCCTGGCGCTTAGATACCATATAAAAAACTTGATAGAAACACTTTGCTTTAATCTGCTTCTGTTTAAAGTTTCTGTAACCCACTGATTAATAATAATCAGTGGGTTAGTTGTTCTCATGCCTGTTGTTGTTGAATATTGTTCTCCAATGTATCTCACAATATCAAGCCTTTTTGAAGAGTCAACACTACAAAATGAGGAGTAAACATATGTGTTATTGATGTTACTACTGTATCAATGATCAAAAATGAAAAGGTTGTATTGGGATATCCCCTACTAATTATGTTGTTATATAAACAGATATCCTCATTATGTAGGCCAAACCTAAACGAGGGAATATGAAAAACAACAGTGCTAACCTACTACAGATTATGACTTACTTTCTCCAAAAGCATCGTCCCTCCTGGGAGGTCCGTCATCGCTGTCCGCACTTGGGCGAGCTCTCCAGTCACTGTCTGTCTTGTCAGGACCCATGTCTGCCATTCGTCCACCCCTGTCTCTGCCTCCCATGCCTCCATCTCTTTCTGAAAAAAAAAAGAAAAAAGATATTTTATCCAGGATTGAAATGTACCTTTCCTGACTAAAAGTTTCAGACTTCATATTCCTTTTCACCAAATTTCTGGCAGACATATCCCCCATTAACACTAGCCCTCTGAAATTAATCCATGCCGAATTTGGACCGAGCTTGAATCAGATAACCGTGCCGAGCTTAGTTCTTACAACCATTTACAAATCAAGCTAGCATGGTTCCTCACCTCCTATTGGGAGTTCACTATGCTACAGTTCTCGAGGTGAGAGTTACGCAAACAAAAATGGCGCCGCCCATAACATTCAGGAACATCTGTGCCTGGATAGCGTAATTGGCCCAAATTTTAGTAAGAGCCTCGATTTCGGCATCATCCCAGGTAAGACCACACTCTTTTGATGCCATTTATTGTTAATAGGCTGAGAGGAAGTTTGTGTTGTGAACAGGTAAAGAGATCTGTGAATTGCAAAGGCCATGCCGTAAAACATGCAAAATGATTCAGCTGACTAAGGATGAGAGGATGTGGTCTTCTCAGGCACTCTTTGTTATCAGAGAACCGAGCCACAACTGATCCGTGCCTATCCCTACTGTTGAACTAGTAATAGATTTAGCATGGTTCGGTTATGTCTGACATGGTCCAGATCAGTTGCGCTCCGTTTACACTCAATAGTTATCTCGGTTACAGTACTTGGACTGCTCCCAACACAGTTTCAAAAGGGTAGTGAAAATGGGGCTACTATTACAGAGGACATATATTAAAACTGGTAGATGAATGTTAAACATACGAAAAAACTGAAAAAAAAAAGAACAAGAGGACATAAAGCAAAAAATAAATAAAACTGGGATGAAGGGAAAATGACATAAGATAGAAAAGAGGAATAAAGTAAACAAGGAAAGAGGGAAGCAGAGAAAAGGTATTTTCAGATAATTATACTGGAATACCAAAAATGTCCAATATTGTTTTCTTTATCGGACCAAAAAAGCGAACTGGAAAAACTGCAGTCAAATCCCAGACCTCAGAGCAGTGTGACTGTGTTATAACCATGTAAATGGTTTAAACCTCCAAATATCTACAGCCATCAACCTTAAACCCTATAAACACAGATTGAGGGTCTTTAACTTTTTATGTTTTTGCATCATTATACATATATACACAAAGTATATTAATCTCGCATTCCTGAATTGCTACAAGGAACAACAACTACTTTGGGTTTGGCAATGTTAAGCTATCAATTTTAATTGACCGAATAATGACCAAAACGCATCCATCTTCTTTAAAACCTGCATTTTGTCTTGCATCAACGCTCGTTATTAATTCATTACTTGAGGACTTTTTCTAATATGTTGACATTAAAAAGTAGCATATTACTATATTCAAATAATTTATTTTGCCATCTTTATAATCAGAATCGTTGGTTGCTGAAGTAGAGCTGCAACCAATGATTATTTTGCCAATCGATTAATCTGTTGATTATTTTTTTAATTAAATAGATTAATACTCAGATATTAAGAGGTTCCTTCAAAGAACATTTTTACAGAAATAAACTAAGTGAAAATAAAACTATCAGCTAAAGACATGTTTTAGAATCTCTATACTTCTGTTGATGATTAATCGATTACTAAATTAGTTGATGATTATTCCAATACTTTTTATTAGCGCAGTTATTGTTTCAGCCCTAGACAGAAGTAAATATTTTGAGTATTTATTGTTAATAAATATTCAAGTGAAGTGTCGACCTAGTGGTTAAAGCAGTGTGCCTGTGCTCTGAGAAGGTTGTAAGTACCTGGTTCGATCCCTACAGCCTCCAATCTGGGTTCCTGAGCAAGACCCTTAACCCCATACTACTCCGCGCAATGGCAGCCCTTTGCTCCCCCAAGGCGATGGGTTAAATGCAAAGAGTGAATTTCCCCATTGTGGGACAATAAAGGCATTTTATATTTACATAGTAAACATGTTTTTAAACAATTACATTTGTTTTGTCCATGTTTTGGTAAACAGAAAACAAACAAAAAAATCACCTTTATCATTTGACTGGTCTGCAATATCCACTCGAATCCTTCGGTTCCCTAAGTTCTGTTGACATGATCAGGCAGAAGAAAATATCTTAAAATTTAGTCGTCACTCTGTGAGGTCACATCACACAAATATTTGCATAAAATAAAATTTGCATAAAAGCCGAACTCTTTCTTACCTCCTCATTCAGGCTGAGAGCCCTGAGGAGCGACTCCAGGTCATCAAACTCGGCATACCCGAAGCCCTTCAGCCTCTCTGGATTACTGAGCTCTCGAGGCAGACGCACAGCGCTGATCTGGTGGTTAAAAATACAAGAGAGGAAGTATTTGAATCGAGCAAATGCATCACAAACTCAAGTTAAACTGAGTCATAAATAAAGCTTTATCAAGGTTTATACAGGAATGAATAACTAACTTAATTCTTTTTAATGCTCTTAGAAATAATTTTAATGCCACCAACAGGTACCCGTCGACAGGCTGCAGCCATGTCTCGATTTCCTGGTTTTCCAGCCACTTTTGTTGAAATTGGCATTTTTCCCCCCATTCTCTAGCTTTTTCTGAACATTTAGCTTTGCGATCAACTGAAAGCAGTTCCACACAAATATATCGAGATATAATATGTTTGACGAAATTTTTTTTTATAAACATCTTTTTAAGAAAGCATTTTAAATGCCACAATAAACACATTTAATGACTTGGCTTAATGCCAATTAAGGCCTTAATTTAAAAAATAATAAAGACATTTAATGATTTTTAATGACCCGCAGAAACCCTTTTTATATTGCCAATTTATTAAGTAAAGAATAAAGATTAAACAAACAGTTTGATTCATTGAAAAACCAGAAGTTATTGTCGTTTATTGCTAGAACAAAATGGCTTAGAGATCGTCTACAGGCAAGCTAATATACTGAAGGGACAGCCAACCTTAAGTAATTCTGACAAATATAAAGTTAAAGCCTTTCAAACATAACATTCAATTTATTGCATGTGTTTCAATTTTTTGTTTGTTTTTTAAAGAAATTGGTAAAAAAAAAAGAACTTGTTTATGGTTTGGATTGTTTCATAAAAATGAATGCAAAAAAATCTGAACTTCAATTTAAAGAGAGACTTTTTGTAAGTTTTTTTTTGGAAAATAATTTTTAGAACAGCCATGTGATAAGATTGGACCATTTCTGACCAAAACACCATTTAATGAGCAGACTGACACCTCAGTAGTTCAGAGCCAATGCATCTATAAGCCTGCAGCCATTTTCCCTGAATGTAATTCGGGTTGGAAGTTCTGATGCTGTTTCTACGAATTTGACATCCGTGTTTAATGGATCCAATCTAGCAAACAATCAAAATGATTTTGCGGCTATTCTGAAGCGACTGGTCTCCAGCTCAAATAAGACACCAATAGGAACTCTACATAAGGTGAAAAAAGTAAAAAAGAAGAATGAGCATGAGCTACAAGAATGAACAGAAGAGTGCTAAAGTTCTGTGTTTTTTGCCAATGTGAAAGTATCATCAGTAGAAACCCTAATGCCTCTTTAAATAAGGATCATAGATTACAGAGCTTTTACATAAAAATATAACATTTTGAATTTCCCCTCAGGATCAGTCAAGTCTGTTTTTAATAGAATTTGCATAAAATATAACAGGTTAAGAAAAATGTCCTTGTATGATGCAGGTTGACATCAGACTGATTCTGCATCATTGCAGCATGACATGAAGTGGATAACGTCTGTGCTGGTGTGTGAAGAAAGTCCTGGATAAAGCTTACATGCAAAAAGTTACATTTGCCTCTGAGGCAACACAAAGGAAGAGGAGGCCTTTTTTTGATTGATAAGTAAAAAGAGAGAAAAAAAAAGGAAGAAATGTTCAACAGCAACAAAAAAAAAAAAAAACATCTCTACTTAACGCCCATTTTTAGACATGCTGCGAGAAAAGACTTCTTCCCAGCCATTGTGATGAAAGCAAGCAGTGACAACTCCAAGATGCATTATGTTCATGTTTCTCCTCCAATGAGCTTCCCATCAACATGCTTAGATAAAGCACTGAGCAGCTAGCTTCTTATGCAATGACCTGTTCTGGTCTGTGGATGGTGTCATTGACTGCCTGCTGAAATACCGTCACGTCATCTATTCTCCCTCTAATGAAACAGACTGTATATTACCAGAAAAAATATTGTCTTCTGTAATATTTTGACTTTGTGAGAAATTGTTTTGGTGTTTTCATTAGAAGTTGTTCCCTATTTTCATACCTAGCAAAATCTGTGCTTAAGAATGTATGATGTGACCATAAAAGTGTCTAGTCTGAAATTCAAAATGAGCAAAGACTGATTTTAAGTATTCAGAGTATGCTTTGACCAATATACCTTATATACTTTGCAATTGAGAACCATGTTTTAATGAAAGGGAATCGTGTTTACATTGTAAGTAAATTGTGACGTCCCTAGTATGCTGGTCTGATAGCTTGACTTACCGCCAAGCCACGGAAGAAGTCTTTTATCGAGTCCTCTGTGACATCATAGGGCAGGTTTCCCAGGAAGGCGGTGTAGGGTGGGCTGCGCGGCAGCCTGGAGCGGTCGATGTTGGGCTCACGAGCCGATCGAGGGGCCGTAGGCAGGATGGAGCGGTCGATGGGAGGAGCCCTGTACGTATCCTCCTCGGTGTGCCACGATGTAGCCACTAAAACGATTCAAAGAGGATACATTTTGGAAAAACAGCACAAAAAATGATTTTATCTAGCTTATTTAAATGACTTGGAACTTCTTTATTTGCTTGTTAAAACCCTCTATATGATTTTTATTTCAATTAATTAAAAAAGCATTCTAATCGAAAAAAGAAAAACTAAGACTGGTGAGGTTATTATTAAAATACAGGAAAACCCCAGAAGCAGCTGCATGACAACAAACGCCAAACAAAAAAAAAAGAAAAGGAACAAAAGGCATCAGTGAAAACCATTTACTACGCTCTTTACTCAGAGGTCAATCGGATAATTTATTTAAAGTACTTTGAAAGAAAAATAAATTCAAAGCTTGTTTCATAATATTGTGCATTCAAAATATTTTCACAGTACTCAACCTTTCCCACCTATTCATTCAGGATATAGCTGTCAGAAGCATTTACATTGTCAGCTGAGAGGTCAGCAAACATTAACCAGAAGGAATATCCTTCTCATATCAGCAGATGCATTCAAACTGGAGGTAAAAACACCACACACCAAAAATGCTGACCAGTTTTTTTCCTTTCCCTTCTGTTGTATGTTTGTGAAACCAGTGGTTGATGCCTCCATCCCGATACATTTCAGCTTGCCTTAACCTCACACTAGCTTCTCATTTTACAGTCAGTCCTGCCTAAAAACAACTCATGCTAACAGTGACACCAATCAGGTGTTTCACTCATCTAAAAGATTATGAGACGAAAAAATTTTCCCATTTGTTTTGGAGGAAACAATTTCACCCCTCCCACTTAGACAGGATCTTTGAGTTAAGCTTAACTGCCTCCTCAACATAAATATACTCCTACATATATAGTTACATATAGGTCTAGTGATCACATATGTCGAGTTGTAGTTAACAGTTAATACGCATGTGATAATGGTACAAATCGGCATTCAGACAACATTTTATATGGGACTGAAGAATGAAGCATTACAATGAATGAACCACCTGAATAAACCATATTGAAAATAGTTTTAAGTAAATGGGAGTCATTATCTGCTAGATTGGGAACAGGTCTAAAACCTGGCAAAACCAACAATGCTGTTTGATTTAAAATGTTTAATTGGGGTATATGTGGAAAAAAATCCCCTTAAACACAAGTGCTGCCTCAAAAGAGTTTTTTTTTTTTTATTATTATTATTATTCAAAGAAAAGGATTTGCTCACCATCTCCGTCCAGGTCATCAGTCTCATCAGCCCAGTTTGTGGACTTGGATGGGTAACTGGGAGGAGCAGGAGTGCCACCTCCACCATCCTCTGCCAGGAAGTCGTTGAGCGTGAGGGTCTTGCCCTTCTTATTCTTCTTTTTAGCTGCAGGAAAAGATGGACCAGTCAAAAATACACGCTGGTTTTGGTGCATTAGATACACTTTACCAAGTACTTTTAGAGATATAAGGCTATATTAAGCAGAGAAAAATACATTTTTGGTCACTTCAACTCGCAATTCAGATTTCAGATTATTTGTAATGTTATTTCAATTTCAATAAATTTCTATATTAATTAAAAGTAAAGGTGAATCTATAGATCAGAGATTTAGCTGCCACAGACCAGCAGGTCAAACACCAAACTTCTGGATTTTAAGCCATTTTTCTCCATTCAACAAAGTGCTTCAAAATTTAAAGATTCAGAACATGTTTGCAACAACAAAAGCTGTCTAAGTCAACATTTCACAAGCATCCGCCTCATGATTTTGGAGTTAAACAGATGGAATGCAAACATCAAAAATAAATCTAGCCATTGCTACCTCTGTCTAAAAAACATGCAGCATTGTAGAACTAAGTCAAACCTGAAGGAAAAAATGGGAACCTGTATTGACCAAGATGCCCAACAGTGTAGCTCTTGTATAATGAGGTCAGCAAAGCTGAACCGAGTGCAAACACCCACTAACCTCTAGGTGCTTGACTTCTACTACAGAGTTTGTTGTAAAGCCAAACACCTTAGTTTAACTGCAAATACCAATCATGTTCATAACTGCCTCATAAAAACGAATATTTAAGCCAAAGAAGATATGCTTTCAAATCCTATTATCAGGGTATACTTCAACATGATCAAACATCTACACAAAATAATAAGTTTCAGTTTCTTCTGACTTAAATACAGGTAATAAATAGAGGTAAACGTGCCCATATACGTTGTTTAGTTGCTAGTACACGTGTGATATACTATTAAAGCATCTATATCAGCACCCAGGACTTTGATGTTTATTTTATTTTGTGCTAAGGTTAAGTTAAGGCACACCGTTTGCTGGCTTCTATGTCTTTTCAGGCTTAGTCAGCAAAGGGCTGCTGGCGGAGGGAGGGAGGGGGAAGTATCCCTGTTTAGCTGGCTAGGTTTTAGGGCCTAGTGCAACGTTGCAGCCTCCCGATTCTAGTGCGCCATCAGCGAGGCAAGACTCGTCCGCCTGGGAGAAGGGAGCCCAAAGTTAAAGGAGCTAAGCTGGGATACGGACCGGATGCGACCCAATAGGTCAGCATGACCCGTTTCATTAGAGACCAGGTGCCTGGGAGCGGCGCCGCACACGTGGGAGAGACACCAGGCGGCCCGGACTCCTCGGCCCAACCCCTCCTCCACAAAACGCGCCTGCGCCCGACCGCTTGTTTGCCCGTAGCGCCACGGCGAGCTTTGCCGCTGACTTACAATGTGCCAAACTCCGCACGCAGTTAGCAACCTTTTCCTACGTGTTACCTAATCTGCTAATCGGTAAATAAACCGACGTACGCCCATAAATAGGTTACATTCTTCTAATAAAAAAGTCATTTTCTTCCTTTATTTGAAGGCCGAAGCATTTCAGATTACAAATCGTTGCTTCGTTCATTCGGCTTCTCTGCCAGCTTCGCCTTTAGCGAGCTAAAACATCCCATAAACGAATTTATAGGCACCAGACAACTAGAGGAAGCGTTCACAGACCCGATAGCAATCGTTTTAATTAATGTCTCAAACTGTCCGGAGATATAACCCCGTGGAAATCCAACTAAACGACCCGTACCGTTCACCCACATAAACCTCACCTGACGCCGCCATGTTGGAGAAGCAGTTCGTTGAAGTTCCCGGATGAACGCGTCAGAGGTTTATTGTCGGGAGCGCGCATCGGCGTTCACGGGCCTGTACCTCCTCCCTTGTTTACTCCCTGACCCACATCTGCCCAGTGCTTGTTTTCTCTTCAGTTCGCCACTGAATCCATCTGCCTCAGAATCAGAATAATCCATTATTTACATTAATTCAAAATAAATTTCCAAATGTCCTCTTTTATTTATTAAGAACTTAAATAAAATTTAAAAAAAATCATGAACAATTTTGCATTTTTAAATAATTTATGTTTGTCTTTTAACTACAGATGTACAACAGAAAAGCCTGAGTAAAAATAGTATGTAACTGCTATATATCACAAATTGAAATTAAGCAATAAATACATGGTTTTACATTCCTCTATTTTTTTCTTTCGTAGATATCTGTGGACATTGTATCACTATGATGGTCCTGCTGTTTGTCAAGACAAAAAATTGAGAGCATAGCAATATTAATGTTTATCTTATTTATGTACTTATAATAATTCAAATTTAATTTAACCATGAGCCAATGTCCGTACTCTTTTTGTTAATGTTTTTTTTTTCTTTTCATAGATTTTATATTAGCACTCTCACTGTTTTAAAGTGGCTTAATATGAGCTTTCCTGTTTTTGCATTAACAGTGTAAATCAACTGCTCTGAAACTGAAACAAATAGACCATTCTTTTATTACATTACATAACATATTTTACAAATGCGTATTCAAATTTTAAAATGAGAGGAAATAAATGCATCTAACAATATGAGGAGATAATTGCTTCCTATCTTGACCAAACTCTATTGGAGGTAGACTTTGGACTAGGCTCAACCCCTTCACAGTGACCACAGTGGTGTGATCAAGGAATCATGGACAATAAAGCCCAGAAAAGGAAAGCTCTTTCATAAAATCCATCCTACGAGTGGAACTTTTTTAGATTTTAGTGACATTCAAACACAAACCTCAGTGCATTTTATTAAAACTTTGACGTCACGGACCAACTCAGAGTTGAAAATCATTGTAAGCAGAGGCTCCAAGCAAAATTTGATGTTAGTGCACTTTATTTCTGCCAATAACATTTCTTGTTTTACTCAACAGTTCATGATCAGATCATTCATGATTCGGTTGTGCAAAAGCAATGTTAAAAAATAACCCCTAGTTTAATAACATCAACAAACAAATATATAATAGATTTGCTAAATAAAAATAAATACAATGGTACAAACAGACACAGATAAATGAAAGAATAGAATAAAAACATGTTCCTAAAAAATGAAAAATAAAAGAATACCGGGAACCAGGTAGGAACCAGGTATGAAATTCATCTTTTAAAAAAACTATAGAAATATAACTATATGCAAAAGCTCCATTCAAAAACATAAGCCACTTTTACTCAAAGATGTGACTTTTTTACTGTAACTTTTTGAAAAATCCACTCACTCCTTAAAACTTGTGCTTCTTGCTTTTGTGTTTGCAAAGTCACTAATGACATCACTGTAGGAGATCTGATAGCCAACTTTGCTGTTAATACTAATAACCTCTGCCAGCCTACTCAGTCATTCTTGTGCCATGCAGATCTCAGGTCATTTTTTTTTGTAGGAGAGTGCAGGTCATCCTCAAAGCTACTCAAAGATTTGGGAGGGACCAGATCTCATTTTGAGAGGAACATGAGTTAATGATGTCTTCTGTGCTTTAGGATGTCCGAGGCCTTTTTTCTCACATTACTATCAAACTGTTCTCCAAAGCTAAATTTATCTTGGAGAAAGTTACTCTAGTGTGTCTGTGTCAATTTTAAACCAAGACATTTTTTAAAGCTATAGATTTCTACCCAATTGATGACATATGAATATAAAAAGAAAAAAATATATATTTCATAAAGAATTGGTGTGTTTTTCTCAATATATTTATATTGATTTCCTTACACATGCATATAACCCAATCAATTAATTGTTCTTGGGTGCCCAGGGGCCCTAAAAGGCTTATTATGCTTGATGCACTGAAAATGAGTTGCCCGTCACTGGTTTTTATACTCTGTGCGGCGTTCCTGCTGCTCTGGCTGGTTCTGGAGGGGGGGGGGGGGGGGGGGGGGGGGGGGGGGGGGACTCTGAGTCTCTGAACAAGACCCTTAACCCCACACTGCTCCCCGGGCACCGCACAATGGCAGCCCGCTGCTCCCCAAGAGGATGGGTTAAATGCAGAGAGTTGATTTTGTTGCTCTGTACTTGTGACAGTGTAATGACAATAAAAGCTGAAAAAAAGGGAAACAAAGCCGTTTACAACTTTATCAAAGCCTCTTCATGCTGTTAGAGAGCGACGGTCATTTCTTTCCTGGAGTTTTTCCACAATGTGTTGCACCGAAGCAGGAGCTGCTGCTCGCTCGCCATGTTTTCCCTTGATCCGTCCGCGTACTTATATATTTTCCAAGGTGCTATGTGTGGAAATCCTGTCTGCAGGGAGTCCACATGGATGACCACCATGAACATGTCAAGCATAAACCAAGCTTCAGGAGTCATATATGCCTTGGGCTGGCCCTGATTGTGAAGAGTAGAAGAAAATGAATAGAAAATTATGAAAAGTGCTCTAGGTAATTTAATTTCAGAGTAATCTGTGTTCCCCTGTGAGGTTTGTTAGAGAACATTAGTAAACAATCAGCATCGTGAAGACCAACAAAGACAATATGCAGGGGGGGGGGGAATAAAGCCGTGGTGAAATTTAAAGCAGAGTTCAGTTATAAAAAAAAACAAAAAAAAACCCCCAGGCTTTAAAATTCTGGCTGACATGTTAACATTCCCAATAAAAACACAAAACAACAACAACAAAAACAAACAAAACACTGAAACGGGTTGAAAGTGTATGATTGGTTTGGAATGAAGCAGATCATGTTCAGACCTTTGCAAATTTGAATCTTTGTGGTAAGACTTCTCTGATGAACTCCATCCGGTCAGACTGAGCTTGAGCTAATTTGCATAGAAGAATAGGCAAAGCATGTCTCAAAATATGCAAAGCAGGAAGAGGGATAGTTTTTCTCAAAAATCTTTCACCCGTGAATGCAGACTCAGGTGGCTGAATACTAATGCATCCTTTTCAGGGATTTTTTTTATTTTTAGTAAATGTATAAAACCAAATATAATTTTTTTCCCATTTCCTAAAGGTAGATAACATGATCTCTTAGTATGCGAAAAAAAAAAATCCTTGAAATTCAGCCTGGATCTCATTCTTTATCTCTACTTCTGACCCACTCACTTGTCCGTCTAATTTATAAAACTCTTTGATATAATTTTTATATATTTAGCAGTTTGTTTCAAATTTCAGGAATCTGTTATAGCTCTATAAATCCAATGAATAACCACAAACCATGACAGCAGGGGAACAGTTTCTTTTATTGATTGAAACAGACAATGGGTGTTTCTGGATCAAAGCGGTTTCATTGTATTTTGAATTTCACTTAAAAAAATGCATCATGCGGAGCAGCAAGATGCATTTTTTCCCATGGCTCTAGATTGTGGGTGCAGGCTTCCATTGTTCTTCTTCTGGCATTCTGTACTGAATTAACTTGTAGCCTCTAGCTCCTCCAGTGCATCTTGGAGCCTGTGCAAAACATCGGATAAATTTTTTCTTTATAATCCTGATTGAAATTATGAAACCAAGGAGATGAAACCATATACATTTTTATTTCCCCTATCTCATAATTCTTACTTAAAGTCTCCACCATCCAGCAGACCCTTATAAGTGCTGATCTCAGCCTCTAGCTTCATCTTCATGTTGAGCAGGGCCTCATACTCTTGGGTCTGGTGCTGAATGTTTGCCCGCAAGTTTGTGAGTTCTGCCTCCAGGCGGACTAGGATGTTGTTATACTTTTCCATTTCCATGTTGTAGCGTTGCTCTGTGTTTTGTAAGGTGTCTTCTAAGGAGGCTTTCTAAAAAAAAAAAAAACGAGTGAGAAATTGTATAAAAGATTTTTTCAAAAAACTGTTCACTTGAATAAATAAAACGAATCTGAGTGAATGAAATACAACAGTTTTGCTGCTTAAATATCAAGTATTGCAAAAACAATTTTTAATCCATCTTGGATTGTTTAAAAAAATCCCCCCTTCAAAAGGTGCACAGCTTGTTTCTAGTACTTACTAAGCTCTGCTGAGATGCAAGTTCAATTTCCAGGGTTTGTATCTGTCTGATTAAATCACCTCTCTCCATCTGAGCCCCCTGAAGTGCTTCTGTGTTCTGTGATACCTGGACCTGCACGTCTGAAATCTGAAATAAGAAGGGAAAAAAAACAACAGGTGTTGACCAAACAACACAAGTCTCATCATTTCACTTTCCCTTGTCGCCATTCATTACCTGGTTTTCATGCCAGCGCTTAAGGTCCTCTGCATTCTTCATTGCAATCTTCTCATAATTGGCTCTCATGTCCTCCATAATTTGAGAAAGGTCTTGACCCTTTGGAGCATCCACGTCCACTTGCACGCCAGAGTGAGAGATCTGATTCCTCAGCTCCATCACCTCCTGTAGGACAAGATGTAAAAGTAACTAATCGTGCTGACTTTTAACTCCTCATCCGTTTTATGAAAGATTTACGACTTTTTTCCGTAG